TGTGTATTGTACTCCCGTTTTGCCTCCTTGTTGCTCTTTCCCTGAGGTTTTTGTTCCTACTTAAGTTCAATACAACATCTACTGTCCTTCTCCGCATCTTCCTACTGCCTACTGAATACGAACCACATAGATTTCGATAACTCTAATCATACTGTATGATTCGGAGCCTCCTCTTTCGCTGGGACAAACAACAGTGTTCGTTTGGCTTTCTTGGTGATGGTTAGTGGATGTACAGCTTGTGTATATTCTGCTGCTTGAATGCATCAAATGGTGCATTTGTGGACACGTTTACCCGTCAGCCAACCAATTGGCCAGGTTGTTTGGTGGTATGTATTAACAAAACGATGTATCTGCGTCCATCACCGATATCACATTCACGGCTGATGTTGGTTGATATAGAGAAAGATGCGCTGGAACCAGTTCTCTGAGGTGAACACCTAAGGGGTGTCTTTGGTGCCAAGTTAAGAACGGTCATGACTAGGTAACAGCCAGTCATCTGGATGACAGATGGAATGCCATCTGAAAAATTTAATCAGAGTGTGATTTCCTAAAGCCTTCGAGAAACTACATTATCTTTGAGTTCACCAGGAACCTAGCAGTCATTGATTTCTGAGTTGTGTGACTGTACAGGGATGGAGCCTTATGCCCACCTAGTAAGAGACGAGAGGACTCCTATTGTTTTCTGATATGAGGCATCTGTTAAGGTATAGTTTTTTGATTAGCAATGCTAAGTATGTTTCTCTGTGTGCTTTCCACGATGTCATTACCAGAACACCGCTGTTTATAACCTAGCTGTCAGTCAAATTTTATTGACCATCCTGTTGTAAGTCTTTGAGCTTCTTTGAGATTACGATATTTTAAGGAAACGTCAGCTATTCCAGGAATGTTGCAAAACGAGCCCGAATTAGCACCGGAATTAGATTTAAAATCAAGTTTAAAACGACATTTGGGTTACTGACCTCGGGTGAAAGTATGTTGCTTCGGACGCTTACTGCTGAACGGTAGTTGTCTACCATCAATGGCTTTGATGTACTCAAAGTGGAAAGAAAAATTAGAAAATGGTAGAAGGCTAGAAATGTGAACTTACTCCTTGAGTGGTATGGGATGGTTGCTTAAATTTCAGTCTGCGTTCGTTTTCTAGAATATTGCCATGATCAAATGGTAACGCCCTTTAGATGAGTGTACCACACCATGTGTGTTGTATGTAATCATTGTCTGATCACAACTCTACTCTGGTTCAAGCTCTTCGTCCTCTTCCTCAAGACAAATTACAGCTTCACTTAAAACACTTCAGCCTTTAGTTTAGCCACTCATTATACTCCGTACTATGATTCACAGAGAACACAAAAGTCTAATGCTCAGGTGTTGTTGTCTGGATTGCCCGACTGTGTTGAGATGACACCTGGTGCTGGGTTAACAACGAAGATGTTGGGATTTGGAACTCTACTGTCGGCGTATTCGTAATTCTGCTTTAACTATTGCAATTTATACACCTAGGAGTGCAGTGCTATCATTTTCGGGACGCCCTAGAGGTTGGGTTTGATCGTGGTTAGTCCAGTTATTCTGTTTATCGCATTTGATGCCCTAAGATATAAGCATATTTCGATGAGTATCATACAGGCTGTATATGGTGTTCTACACGAAAGAAGCAACTGTGATCTGAATTCCAAACCATTTGGCGTCGCATGTAGCCGACCAAATTCTGAAAGCGTGTGCCCCCCCACATCTGTGCTTAAACAAAATACTGCCGCTAATCAAACGTTTATACAAAATCCTCAATCTGATCAAGCACAGCAAGGTGTTGTTTTTCCAAAGCATCACTGAAGCGCACGTTATTCTGCGCATCTCTTTGCACTATCGATTTGCTCAAGCGTCTCAGTAGGCTAATTGCACGTAACTTGAGTTTATCAGCGGTCTCCATTAGTTCATGCCCAACGACAATTTTATGCACTTCTTTCTCTTCTGCCAACTTCTTTGAGCGTTGATAGAGGGATAGGCTGTCTACAAGCAGTTGTTCAATCAGCTTCATTTGAAATTCCATCGATATGTTGTCCCGGAAATCCGCAAAGGGTCCGTGGCTCGTATCAATCTGTTGTGGTGTTGCTGTACCGTCCGCGGTGATATCGATAAATAAATATGTTTCTCCAGCCTGATCCACCAAGTCTTCGCCTTTAACCGAGGGCTTTCCGGATCGGATTCGCTTCGGATTATCAGACTTGTTGTCTGAGAGAATAATCAGTATATGGTCAACAGGTGCGTCTTCTTCAGACCCAAAATGTACTGAAGATCGAAAAGGACATAGAATACCGATGAGAAATAGATTCATTTGTTAGTGTGAAGAACGAAATTGGTTGATTCACAGAATAGTATTCAGGTTGCTAGGCCAGGTTGACTAAAATGTGACCACTGGTCAGACCGGTTAGTTGAGTTTTTGCTTCCACAGTGTGCAACCTACATAAGGCTACCTCCGTGGGCTTTGTGTCTAACAGTTTATTTTACATGCGTGATCCAGCCTTCTTTCCTGTATTCATATGCAGCGTTGGATTCACTCGGTAAAGTGTAAGGATGTATGATTGGTCTTCTCAATTCTCTCTTTTATTTGCAAAGAAACTCCCCCCAGTTAGAGTTACTAACACTTGGTTTACCGTTTCTATCCGAGGCTAATGAGAAAGGTTCGACTCCTGAAATTCCGAGATTCGATGACCTTGAAGATTTAATTTTGTGTTTGACCTTCAAGCACTGAAAATATTCTCATTTAGTGTTCGCTCAGGAAACGTACCGTACGAAAAACCGTGCGCTATAATTGAAGAATTAATATGCCTTCACATCTGATCTACAGCCATCACTGTCTAATTTGTCCACTGGTCATTTTCGGATAGAATGTTGTTGACCTCCTCATCACTGTAAACAGTTCCATCAAACTGATAGACAAGCAGGCACGTGAAAATCATGAAAGTGCCGATGGTCGTCTCAAATCTGTAACAAATTACTCAAATTCGAACAAATCAGAAGATCACACAGGAATTGTCGGTCATTTTGGAGAACAAAACGCGCCGGTTAGCTTTTTTCGTGCATTACACCACTCCACGTTCAGATACCCAGAATTTCGTCCCGGTTATCGGTGCGGCGTACGGTGAGGTGCGTTTATGGCTGTTGAGGTAACATACCGCTGCCGCGTACGGTGAGGTGCGTTTAGTCTGTTTTATGGCTGTTGAGGTAACATACCGCTGCTAATTATGGATAGATTTCGAAAGGTTAACTGAAATGAGTAGTTTTACGGTGCGGCTGTTTTAGAACCTATGACCGCGATCCATAGTTCATTACGAACCTCGTGTTCATTGATGTGTTGAACTTACTTTAGTTTGCATTTACTAAGCCAGTGTGTTCAGCGGGTCTTTTGGAATCTGAATGATGTCGCTCAGTGAGTCTGTCATGTGTGGCAGTTCACTGAATGGTGTCGCCTTGTGAAGAACGGGTTGTGAAGAGAAGCTCAGTGAGTCTGTCATGTGTGGCAGTTCGCAAGCTACACAATAATTGATTCTGGTTGGAGCGAAGTGGGTCACACTAAACCACTATGTTACCCGAAATCAGCTTTGTTTCACTGGTTGGTGGGTAAGTGTCACTGTCAAGAACTGATATCGGCCAAGCGTGGGTGACTAAAGCTGTACAACCATCATGCAACAGAAATTTTGCTGTACAGTTTCCAAGTGGGTTTAGAAAGATGGGTTGTGTGAAAAGCCGCACTGTACCAGGGAGGCAACAGTCTGGGGTGAAGAAAGAATATTCCAGAAAATAAATTCAGCACGAAACGTCCCTCGACAAATGCCTAATGACTTTTTCTGGGGGTCGCACCTCCTGAGTTATCAATAGCTATTCTCATCTGATCAGAATCGAAGAGCAATCACAGGTCGCAGTTTAAAATTGTCTACTTCTGACTGAAAATGCTGAGACTTCGTTGAATCTTCAAAACTCAAGCATTTCGCCCAGTCTCCCCGTCATCCGATCAGCACGCCCCACCTTCCCACGACTGTACAACATACAGCTTGCAGGCTATTCACGCCTCTCTCTCCATCCTCAGATTTGTGGATGTGTAACAAACGGGTGCAAAATAAGAGCCCAAGTCTCCTGTCGTTAGGGCAGGAACGCGCAAGTCAATCGGGTACCTTCGGTCGCCCTAGAAGGGTGACACAGACAAACGGAATGCTGATTTAGCGGCGAGTGTGCCCGGAGGCAACACTAATGATTGAAATGAGGATAGATATCTGTGGACTTCGCGGACGGCCATTTCCAGTTGTTCATATGATGTCGGAAAAGTGAAAACAGCTTTTTTGAAGTTCAATATATTCACAAGCAGCATGAGTCGGTCAGTCCTGTTTTCGATGAGAATCCCAGTTGCAGGCGGCTCAGACTACTTGACCCGGATTACGCATCGATGCATGGCCAGTAAAGAGTTCCAACTAGTTCACCTTTACGGACTCCCCTGGCTTGCTTCTCGAGGAAACAGCAAGTGTGCCTCATTTGTCTGCATACTTCGCTCGTACCCTGTGGGCAGGATAGCGCTGGAAGTTCAACAATCTACATTATAGCGTATGAGGAATACGTGAAGCGACTGATCACCAAGCTACAGAAACCGGGAGTTTCTGTGATGCAGGGGAGGGGCTCCGATCTATTTTGCTGACACCGTCATTTGACAAACGGAGGAAACATAGTTCTGCAATGAAATACTTCGGGGCGCACACCGGGTAAGATTATGCGGTAGAATTGGCTGCGTAGATACGGTGAACTACAAGCTCACGACTCACTTTTCGATGCTCCAGAGAGGTGGTAAGGACTCCGGTAGTCAAGTGCAGAACATCTAAACACCTTCTCAATAGTTGCGATGTTCATGCTGCATAATTCGGCACCAGTTCGACTAGCCGAAGAGATCCTATTGGGAGGATACCTGTGTCCATGGATCTTATCCCTTTGGAGTTGGTTTTCCGTGAAATTCTCTTAAACTAGCGGTCTAATGAAGCAGCCCATGTACACTGAAATGGCTGGAGACAACTGTTTTTGATGGGTGTCTTTGAATCCTGCGGAGACTTACCTCTTACGGATGTTTGGTGTGGTCAGACAGCACAGCACTGGTCAGGTCCAAAGCAAGAATTCTGGCGAGATCAGCACTGACTCTCATGTTAATTTGCATGACAAAATTGCTATGACTGGAGACTAATTAGGCTCTCTCGTGGTCAACATCACCCTGACATTTTTTTGGAGTATTCCGCAGCACTCAGGCTGCTCCAATTTTTCGGTACGAATAAGTAATATGGAACTGTCTGCGAATATTGAACAATCGACCCATACTACTTAAAACAAAAAAGATCAGCGTCAGCCCAACTGAGAATCTGAATAGCATCGTTTACAATCAGACGAGGTGAGGGGCATGGAAACAGATATGAATTGGACTGAAGGATGAATACAAATCGGTTTGAAAGCCACACGAGAAATCCACGGAACGCAAATTCTACAGGTCCGAAAACCACAAACCGGTTTGGGAATTTGGAATGTTGTACACCGATTTCTGGTTGAGGCTTTCTGCTTAAAAGTTACAGCGACGGTTTCCCTGGTACCCACACTTACTTTCGCCCGCAATGAGCAGCCATCAGGAAGATCACAACATGGATACGGGTCCACAATCCCTGCACGCAGTGAAGCCAAACAGACCACTCGATTGTCACCTTCCAGAAATACCTTTTAGTGTTCCCCGGCAAACACTTGGTTTATCATTCTAAAATAACTCTGACCAAATTCTATTTTGGTCTTATCGCGCGTGGATAGGTCCATTGGTACGAACCCTTGTATTGTAGTTCACAGTAAGT